AACCAGCGACAAAAATACAGAACCACGTTTTTCTATTACATTGAAGACCACATGCAAAAATTCAGCTAATTTGGAGCAAGAAAAAAGAAAAGCAAACAAAAACGTCACTTATCCCCTTTTATGACTAGCTTCTTCAACTACAGTATATTTTAAATTAAGTACAAGCCGTGTCAACTGACAAATTAAAAAGCTCTGAAATACCTGAGAGATAAACTGATGCAATAGAAAATCTGAATACAAGTATAAAATAAATCACTGACCTTACAAACAACAGTGTTATCAGCAAGCCCTTGGCTAGAAAGAAAATAAAGAATTGTAAACATTTGAGAGATTTGCTCAATCGAGGTTATTAAGAAATGTACAATATTTGATAGCAACATTCAACAGTTTCTCTATATTCATCTTCTAGACTGTTAATTAAGCTATCCTGAATTCAAGTTTCAGTAAAGCATACAATCGAAAATTGCATTGTAAATTCAGTCTGGCATCTCCATAATCGAGGTTTTCAACAACAGAAATAACCAAAAAAAAAATCATTTTCATGTCTCCTACATGTACCTTTTAACCAAGGTGTGTGCTGAAGAGGGTATTACACAAGATACCAATTTTGGGACCAGACTTAGGGTGCGCTTTGTAAAGGGTGTCCAGTTAATCAGGAGTCCTGTCACGTAAGATAAGTTTCACTTTATTACAAACTTAGACATAACATTTATACCTGATGGAGCTTGCAATTTCATATGGTGTAGTCTTCCATGCCAGTCCATCTACTACTTTACCATCCCGTAATGTGATCTTGATAGGTGTCTTCTCTTTGGCTGGTGAGAGTAAGGAAGCACTAGAATCAGTATTTGTAATAACAAAAAGAAGACTTATAATATGATTACACATAAACTTAAACTTTTTTACCTTCAATTTTGACATCATACTCTGCCTTCAGCCTGTCAAATAATATGTCTCTCTCAGCTATAAACGCTGGAGGTGGGTTCAACTGTTGAATAAAACATTTAATCAGCAAAGAGTGCCAATAATTTTATTAATTTCACTTCTAGTACACTGTACATGCTTCAAGAAAACATGAAATGAAAAAGCTATAGCTATAAATACTACTATACTCTCGCAAGTAAAGTTTAACATGGAGAGTTGTCATTCAATATAAGAGAGTGAGAAGATGCATACAGAGAAATGGAACCTGAGACTACAGGTGCAGGAAGAGAAGCCGAGAAGCAGAACAAATGCAAGATTTTCATTGATAAAATAAGTTACTGGGTAATATCTTCAATTACAGTCAAGGGAGTCATGGGATGGTACAAGAAAAGGAAGAGAAGAGTATGAGAAGCAAGAAACACTCTGCTCCCCTCCCTTGATTAATGTTTACAGTGATAAATGTCTGAATTAATTATATTGATTGACACTTCATAATTTCAAATTTGAAGTCCACTGCACTGATAACAATCAAGGTCATCATAATTCGCATAAACGGGTAAATAAAATTAATTGATTTTTTTTATTCATAACCATGAACTTTAATTGCATCAATATGCACTTTAATGGCCCAGACAAACAAGTCCTCGCCCCTAGGCGTAAAATTAAAATATTGCATCAGCCTTTCAGACCAGACATGGAATTCAAAATATCAAGTTAAAACTGTGTTCAGTCTCAAGCATAATTTGGGCAAACAATATTACTTGTGTTTTAACAGTATCTGCAGTATTCCAAACAAAGACAACCGTGACTTCTTTTAAAGGAAAGCTACTCAATATTTCTGATCGAAGCACGTGAAATATTTACCACTTCAATCGCGAAATCTTAATTGTAAGCTTACTCTTGACCTCACGAACAATTGCATGTTGGTCTTGAAATTATCAGTAATAAAAAATAATAAGTCTCCTAGATCCTCTTATGGATGAAGTGAAATGTAGTTCATCTTAAGGCTAATTAAACATTAGTCCACAAAAAGAAATGAATTTTACGATGTACAAGTTTGTAAAGGGGGTGCGACATGACCGAAGTCTAATCTCGCGTGAATAGACTTATGCTTACTTCTAAGGGAAATCCACTACTAGTATCTTCTTTCTTTTTCTTCTCTCCTTTAGCTTTCTCTCTGCCTTTCTGTGTTTTAGGCTCTTTTTCTTCCACATTCATATTTTCCACTTTCTCCTCTAAGCCTGTTTCCGACATATTTCACAACGTGGATTATATTTTTTTTGGAGCGAAAATAATGGTGCTTGCTGATCATGCTCAAATACCAACACAGCTGAAATTTCGCGGACTCAAGCAAAATGGCGGATTATTTCAAATCTTGAAACTACTTTCAAGCGTCGTTTCAAGCAGTATTTTCTAATCACTGAAATGATATTATTGCTTTTACGTACCTCTAAAGGATACTCCACTGCATCGTCAGCAGCTTTAATAGGTCCAGATGCACAGTAACAAAACGATCGCTGTCGTCCTCCAGGTCGAAATTGGCGAAATACTCCTTCATAACCAAACGTGATTTTCGACTTCTGTGGTTTAAAAATCGTCGAGTTGATTTGACGTCGCAGTGTAACAGCTAAGATCCTGATCATAATATCCTGCAGTGTCTGATATTGACATAACAGGCACAAGTGTCCTCCACGATTATCCAATCCTAGTGAAAATTTAAAACAAATACCTAGCAAAGTCTTGATGTTGTTTTCTAATAAAAGAAAATATATAAAATGTAAACATAGATCATTTGCACTTACAAAGGCATCTGTCAGAGCGGTAGTGTTCCTTAGTCAGCCAGGGCTTTCGTTTTTGTTCCTTTTAAGACTCATGATTTGGATCCAAAATAACTCAGTTCTCCATATTTCTCCATGAAGTTACTACATCCAGTACTCGTTACCAGTCTACCATGTGTTTAAGGTAAGCTGTGACGCAATCGCTTGATCACGCCTTCTTTTCAATCTTGTACAACGTGTTAAGTCTTAAGGTCATTCCACTGAAATAGAACCTACACTGAGATTTTTGTCAAACTTTGCCTATTGATTGTTTACATTATAGGAACTTCAATTTTGAAATAAAAATGAGGGGTCCCCATGTTCGTTTAGGAGCAACAGCACCTTGTTTATACCCATATAAATCCTTATAATAGCACCATGAT